CTTGAGCTCAGGATGTTGGAGGCTGCAGTGAACTAAGATGGATACCACTGTACTTTAGCTGGGCAGTAGAGAACCCATCTCTTTTAAAAAAAAAAAGGCGGGGGTAGGGGGGCTGGGTACGGTAGTTCACACCTATAATCCTAGCAGTTTGGAAGGCAGAAGTGGAAGGATCGCTTGAGCCCAGGAGTTCGAGACCAGCCTGGCGAAAATAGGGAGACCCCCATCTCTACAAAAGAAATAGCCAGGCATAGTGGCACATGCCGATGGTCCGAGCTATTCGGGGAGAGGGGCTAAGGTGGGAGGATCGCCTGAACCCAGGAGGTTGAGACTGCAGTGAGCCATGATTGTTCCAGTCACTCGAGATTGGGTGACAAGGTGAGACCCTGTCTCAATAAAAAATACGTGTATCTATAAATTCTAAGTCCTTCCACTTTTTTTTTTTTTTTTTTTTTTTTTTGAGAGGGGGTCTCACTTTGTCACCCAGGCTGTAGTGCAATGTTGTGATCTCAGCTCACTGTGATCCCCACCTCCTTGGTTCAAGCAGTTCTCCTGCCTAAGCCTTCTGAGTAGTTGGGACTTCAGGCGCACACCACCATGCCCAGCTCATTTTTGTACTTTTAGTAGATACAGGGTTTCACCATATTGATCAGGCTGGTCTCTTAACTCCTGACCTCAGGTGATCCGCCCACCTCAGCTTCTCAAAGGGCTGGGATTATAGTCATGAGCCACAACACCCAGCTCCCTCCACCCTTCTTGAAAGCTCAAGTAGCTTCTCAGTCTGCTTGCTTGCTTTTCTTCCCTCTCTCTTCTCCGTCTCCTTCCCTTCATTTCCCTCCCGCCTTCTCCCTCCACCTCTTCCTCTCCCTCTCCCTCATTTCTCCCTCCCCGCTTCTCCCTCCCCTTCCCTTCTATTCCCCAAAACATTTTCTTTTTTTCACTGTTACTCAGGCTGGTCTCAAGCTTCTGGGTCCAAAAGAATCATCCTGCCTCGGCCTCCCAAAGCACTGGGATTGCAAGCACATGTGTCACTGTGCCCAACCAGTCTTTTGCTTTCTAGTTTAAAATTCTGATTCTCTTTGTCTTTTCAACTCTGTTTTATTTAAATAATTCTTCTCTGAATTATCTAAAAATGCTTTTCTTTTCTTTTTTTGGATGGTCTTACTCTGTTACTCAGGCTGGAGTGCAGTAGCATGATCATGGCTCACTACAGCCTCCAAGTCCTCTTGACTCAGTATCCCAAGTAGCTGGGACCACAGACACATACCGGCATGCCCGACTAATGTTATTTTTTGTAGAGAAGGGGTCTCACTGTGTTGCTCAATCTGGTCCCAAACTCCTGGGCTCCAGTGATCCTCCTGCCTTAGCTTCCCCAAATGCCGAGATTACAGATGTGAGCCACCATGTCTGGCCACTGCTATTCTTTAAAAAGTTGTGAAATAGTTGGACAAAAGGATTCTAAGATCTGATTAGTTTAAAAAATAGAAGAATCAATGTTACAGAAAGGCCTTATACTATCACACTGGTCTTTAAGAAATAAAAAGAGAGCCGGGCGCGGTGGCTCAATCCTGTAATCCCAGCACTTTGGGAGGCCGAGGCGGGTGGATCACAAGGTCAAGAGATCGAGACCATCCTGGTCAACGAGGTGAAACCCCGTCTCTACTAAAAATACAAAAAATTAGCTGGGCATGGTTGTGCATGCCTGTAATCCCAGCTACTCAGGAGGCTGAGACAGGAGAATTGCCTGAACCCAGGAGGCGGAGGTTGCGGTGAGCCGAGATCGCGCCATTGCACTCCAGCCTGGGTAACAAGAGTGAAACTCCGTCTCAGAAAAAAAATAAATAAAAAGAGAAAATGAAAGACCTTAAATTCACAGAGTGCATTACATTGCATATAAACACACTTTCTTGTAGGAGTATAATAGATTAACAGACTTTGAGTCTTGCACTGACCAAAGTTTCTGCAAGGTGGTATAAAATACAGCTGAAAGGTCTGACCTAGATGGTAGCCCTAGGAAGCACAAAGCAACATAGATAAAACAAAGTATGTAATTTGTTTCACATTCTTTTTTAGTGTGTGTGTGACAGAGCCGTGCTCTGTTGCCCAGGCTGGAGTGCAATGGCACAATCTCAGCCCACTGCAACCTCCGCCACCCGGGTTCAAGCCATTCCTGTGCTTCAGCCTTCCCAGTATCTGGGATTACAGGTGCCCACCACCGCGACTGGCTAATTTTTGTGTTTTTAGTAGATAGAGGGTTTCACCATGTTGGCCAGGCTGGTCTCAAACTCCTGACTGCAGGTGATCCACCTGCCTCGACCTCCCAAAGTGCTGGGATTACAGATGTGAGCCACCGCTCCCAGCCTGTTCCACATTCTTAAAAGTTCCTTGGTGATGTTCTCAGATTAGAATTGTGACATCTTTGTTCTTCTAGGACTTTGAGAATTGAGTGCCTAAGTTTTCCAGTCTGAGAATTTAGAAAGTAGTGTAGTCAGGTACATTAGGCTCCAAAAGAGTGATCAGAAGAAGTTAATAATAGCAGTAGGGCGAAAGGTGTAGAAGTCAGGATCTGCTCCCAAACAGTAAAGGTTAGGGTTACCCTCACAAGTAGTGTTGAATGAAGCATTAGTCCATTAATTGTGAGGTCATGTTTGTTTTCTATATGAGGCAGTGAAACATAGGATTGTGAAGAGCACTGTCATTTACAGCTTTTCTCATAGGAGTAAAGGTTTTAATTAAGGATATTTACAATTGTTAGCAATTTTAATTGTCAGAAAGCCAGTGAGTATGTGCTGTTCATGGTATAGTATAGCATCTGAAGTTAGGCTTTTTAGCAAGCAAGCCTTCAGTGTGAAATTCTAAGTTCTATAAAGCATGTCAGAGTCAAAGTTACTTCCCTTCATCTATATATTTCACAGTTGCACCTCTCAAAACTTTTTTTTTTTCGTTTTTTCAAAACATATTAAAAACTGTTAGGTTGGTACAGTGGCTCACACCTGTAATCCCGGCACTTTAAGAGGCCAAGGCGGGTGGCTCACCTGAGGTCAGGAGTTCAAGACCAGCCTGGCCAATATGGTGAAACCCAATCTCTACTAAAAAAAAAAAAAAAAAAAATTAGCCAGCCGTGATGGTGCATGCCTGTAGCCCCAGCTACTCGGAAAGTTGAGGCAGGAGAATCACTTGAACCTGGGAGGCGGAGGTTCCAGTGAGCAGAGATACTTGAAGCCAATAGTTCTCACAGTATAGTTTCTGGACCAGCAATATCAGCATCACCTGGGAACTTGTTGGAAATGCAAATTCTTAACACAAATCCCACACTGGGTTTAGGGCCCATAGTAAGCCCTTTTCTAGGTGATTCTGATGCATGAACAATTTTGAGAACCCCTGTGTTAAAATTATAGAAGATAGGAATACAATATGGGAATACTATGTAATGTTCTGTTACGGTGTAATCTCTGATGTTTAGAATATTCCACAGATTTTAGGGAGTATAACTTTTTTTTTTTTTTTTTTTTTTTTTTTACTATTCTCAGTGGACCACATAAGCTTTCAGTTGCTCCTCATTCCTTGGGCACTCTGCCCTCATCTCTATTAGAACTCCTGTGATAGCACTCAATTGTATACTTCATTGCAACCCCTAGTAGTCTGGGAACTCCAGTATATAAACAGTGAAGACAGAGACCTGTCTAACCTGCTCTGTTGTATCTCCTGTGCCTGTGCTTTGCAAGATAGATGCCTCGCTCTTCGTAAGTCCTCCACATTGGTTAATGATCGTACCTATTATAGTTCTCCTTTCATTTGCCTCTTCATGCCATAGGAAGCACTCAAACACTTGCAGTCACTCAGTGAATGAAGTTCCTTAATGATAAGAAATCTTTTTATATGCCAAGTTTTTATCTAATGAAACTGTCTTAACCTGTGAATTGAGAGTACTTTGGGGTGATAATGGATATGTCTGTGGCCATGATGGTGGTGATGGTTTCATTGGGTGTATACTTATTTCCAAACTCATCATTGTATACATTAATTATGTACAGCTTTTTACATGTCATTTGTACCTCAATAAAATAGTTTTTAAAAAAATATCTGGTGGCCAGGCACAGTGGCTCATGCCCGTAATCCCAGCACTTTGGGAGGCTGAGGTGGCGGATCACCTGAGGTTGCGAGTTCAAGACCAGCCTGACCAACATGGAGAAACCCTGTTTCTACTAAAAACACAAAATTAGTCAGGCATGGTGGCACATGCCCCAGCTACTCAGGAAGTTGAGGCAGGAGAGTTGCTTGAAGCCAGGAGGCGGAGGTTGCGGTGAGCCGAGATCGTGCCATTGCACTTCAGCCTGGGCAACAAGAGAGAAACTCTGTCGCAACAAAAAAAGTATTTGGTGCATTTTTTGTATCATTTAGGCATTGGCTGAATTTGGGTTAGATAATGGTGACTGTATATTAGGTACTTTATGAAAAAGTTGCTTTAATTAGGCATATCTACATGTTATTTTATTAGCTTGTCTTAGGTCACACGACTGGTAAGTAGCAGAGTAAGAACAAGGTCTTTCAGACTCTTAAGGACTAGTATCTAGAGCACAAATGTCACTGTGAAATTTAATGGAATTATACATTGTATGTTTAGATTATTGACTTGTTTTTTTCATCAAGATAAGATTATACTTTGTCTTGATGTAGATTTTGATTTTTTGTTTCTTTGTTTTTTTTTCTTCCCATCTTACCCAATTAATTTTGTTAAAGTGATTTAAGAAACATTTAAATGTCTCTGTTGTCAAGGCTTCAGGTGAGGGTGGAAGAGCCCACTGCTTTTATTAGATGCAGGCTTTGGGTTTTTTAGTCAACCTCATATAACTCTAGTGCTTACAGCTAGTTTATTTCTGAAATTGGCACATTCATGTGAACTGTTTGGCCTCACTATATGGTACTCCATGTTATTGCTTTAAACAGACTTCAAAATTTCCATTTATTTACCAGAGCAAAAATAAATTGTTTTTCCTATTCAGAAATTGAAAAGATTCAGAAAGGAGACTCAAAAAAGGATGATGAGGAGAATTACTTGGATTTATTTTCTCATAAGAACATGAAACTGAAAGAACGAGTGCTGATACCTGTCAAGCAGTATCCCAAGGTAAGGCAGAGAGTACCTTGCATCTTTGAGTTACCTTTATAGTTATGAGAGAGTCATGGGCTATAATAAAGACTCCTGGGGATTGTGATGCTTTAGAAACTTCAGCCTGTGAAGCTTCTCTTTCATGGTTGCAGTACCTGTTTGTAGTAATTGAAATATCTAAGTCCTTAACTAATAACATAGCTGTAGCCAGGAAGGAAATAGAATCATATTTTTATTATCAAAAAGTTTACTTCTCAAATGATTGTTCAGGCTCCAAGTTCAAAGAAAAAAATTAAAAACTGAAGAGTTGCTCTCTGTCAAAAGACTAATATGAAATCTAAATAAAAGGAAATATAACACAAATCCTCAGTGGATGAAGTTAATTTTTTCTTATTAAAAGTTTACTTTTAAGTAAATGCTTTTTTTCTTCTTTAAGGAAAGCAATTAGTTACATTTAGTTTATCAAGCGTGCTATCAAAGAGGGGTGCTATAGTCTCTTCTGAGGTCACTGCCTTAAAAATGTTTATGTATGATAAGTGCTAGACCAGGCACAGTGGCTCATGCCTGTAATGCCAGCACTTTGGGAGGCAAATACAGGCAGATCACTTGAGCCCAGAAGTTCAGTTACAGCTTGAGCAACATAGTGAAACCTCATCTCTACAAAAAATACAAAAATTAGCCTGGTGTGGTGGTATGCACCTGTAATCCCAGCTACTTGGGAGGCTGAGGCAGGAGGATCCCTTGAGCCCAGGAAGTCAAGGCTGCAGTGAGCTGTGATTGTGTCATTATACTTTGATCTGGGCAACAGAGTAAGAGCCTGTCTCAAAATAAAGTAAAAAATAAAATAGTAAAGGTCTTAGTGTACTATGGAAGAGCGCCAGAATACATCAGAAAAGCCGAATTCAAATCTAGGAACTACCACTTTCTAGTTTCATAACCTTAAGCTAATCGCTTTATTAATATGGCTCCAGTGTCCTTCAGTAAAATGGGAATGGTAATACTCTACCTTTGCAGAGTTGTTTAAAATCAAATGAGGTAATTTACGTGGAAATGTTTTTATATAGTAGCAAGTATATTTAGAAATTCTTTATTTTCTGTCAGTTCAATTTTGTGGGGAAGATTCTTGGACCGCAAGGGAATACAATCAAAAGACTACAGGAAGAGACTGGTGCAAAGATCTCTGTGTTGGGAAAGGGCTCAATGAGAGACAAAGCCAAGGTAAGCTCACATTAGTGAGGCAAGAGGACATCCTAATGCCTTCTACTTGCCCAGAATCCAGTATGAATGCCTTATGGAAGCAAGAATTTTGTATATATACAGAATGTAGCTCCTTTAAGTTTGGATACAAGAGATTGTACACCAAGTTAATTTACTTGCTTGGCAACCCTGGAAGAGCCTAGGTGTGACCTAGTGATAATTTTCTTTTGGACTTTTGACTGCATAGTAATGGAAACAGCAGTAGCATCTTGCACATTGGTAGGATTATCTGTGAAAATTTCAAAACTTCAAAGGGGAGCTGGATATACGAAAACTTAGTCTAAGCAGACAAAAGACACTAAAATGCAAACAGCACACCCCCTTTCTTGTAACCTGGAAAAGTGAGAACAATAGTGTTGTGAGAGCAGATGAGTTTGAGGATTAGTTGGTTTTGTTTTACAGCCAGCTGGAATGTGAGGCTCACTAAAAGAATGTATTCCGAAAGGAACCATGAGTAATCCTGACTACAGAATCTAATGCGTCTTTTTTTCCCCATGCCATAGCCACATATGCTGTGTACTCTGTAAATGCCAAGAAACTTCCCACCAAAACAGAATAGTCTTAGCCTTCCGGGGTCACCTTATTAGATGAAATATACCTGCTACAGTCCGAAAACCTGTTCTTTCAATCCTCCTTTTATATAGCCTAATGGAAACGTGTTTTGTTTTCTCAAGCTGTTCCTAACTAGATGAATATAGTTAGGGCTGCAGTATGTTGTTCTAGCTAATGAGATTTACTTGAGCTTTTATTCTCTCTATCCTGACTTCTTTCAGGAAAGAAGTCCCCAAACTACAGCCCGCATGCGGCCCCGTGAGGCCATTTATCCGGCCCCCCGCTGCACTTCAGGAAGGGGCACCTCTTTCATTGGTGGTCAGTGAGAGGAGCACAGTATGTGGCGGCCCTCCCAACGGTCTGAGGGACAGTGAACTGGCCCCCTGTGTAAAAAGTTTGGGGACGCCTGATATAAGCAGATAAGCAGAGCTTGTGCTGATTAACAGCTCTACCTGAGGTTTAAAAACAAATGCTTGGCAAACAGCTATTCTCTTAATAGAGACCAGAGTTAAGTTTTTCTTCTTTATGCTTTTAATAAGAGCTCCAGTGGATATCTCAGTGATTTAAGACAACAATTAACTGTTAGCAGCAGACCACCAGCACATTTAGCAGGTTGTGCAAATTACTGTTCTTTAGCACTTATTTTACTTTCAGAGCTTGTTTTACTCTTTTTTTTGTTTGTTTTTTTGAGACAGAGTCTTGCTCTGTTGCCCCAGCTGGAGTGAAGTGGTGCAATCTCGGCTCACTGCAACCTCTGCCTCCTGGGCTCAAGCAATTCTCGTGCCTCAGCCTCCTGAATATCTGGGATTATAAGCGCACGCCACCACACCCATCACACTCGGCTAATTTTTGTATTTTTAGTAGAGATGGGGTTTTACCATGTTGGTCAGGCTGGTCTCAAAACTCCTGACTTCACGATCCACCCACCTCGGCCTCCCGAAGTGCTGGGATTAGAGATGTGAGCCACTGCACCTGGCCTCTTGTTTCACTTTCTTAAACTTTTCTGTTTTTCTGTTTTTTGTTTTTTGTTGTTTTTTTTTTTTAACTCTTCTCAGCTCATACCAATTAAACTTTGCTGTTTTTCTTAGACATTAGGGCAGGCGTCCCCAAACTTTTTACACAGGGGGCCAGTTCACTGTCCCTCAGACCGTTGGAGGGCTGCCACATACTGTGCTCTTCTCACTGACCACCAATGAAAGAGGTGCCCCTTCCTGAAGTGCGGCGGGGGGCCGGATAAATGGCCTCAGGGGGCCGCAGTTTGGGGACACCTGCATTAGGGTTATTTCTTTCTGTTCCTTTGGGTTAGAGGTAGAAGTGTTGTTTTCTCCCTAGTCCATGTGATATGACATTTCTCTGCATTTTTCCATAGGAGGAAGAGCTGCGCAAAGGTGGAGACCCCAAATATGCCCACTTGAATATGGATCTGCATGTCTTCATTGAAGTCTTTGGACCTCCATGTGAGGCTTATGCTCTTATGGCCCATGCCATGGAGGAAGTCAAGAAATTTCTGGTACCGGTAAGGAAATCCATATTCTGTGTCTTCTGAGCAAAAGAGAACTGGAATTTTAGGCTGTTGTGAAGGTAGGGGTTCTTAACTAAGATCTCTGTATAACCTGTATGTATACCAAATTCTTCGTTTATGTTCATTTTCCTGAGGTAGTTCATTACTTGTACCTAGTTCTCAAAGCATTATGCTCCAAGGCCACTCTATCCCTCCTTGTCTAATGTGGTTTTCATTGTGTACCAGTATCTGTTGTCAGTATCTTGGGTCCACAGTGTGTCTGCTTTCTGATATTTGGTTAACTAAGGTTTAACAGGGTCTTTACCTAGCTGAGTATTTTGGTAGTAGTGTGGAACAAGGAGATTGTGTTAAAAACATGACTAAGGTGGGTCCCTGTACTCAATAAATTTATGCTGTAGAGAGTATAGGCTAGCAACGAGAAGCTTATAGCATTTAGTGTTATTGGATTAAATTGTGACCTGAGCACACTCAGGGATTTCTCTCCTGGAGGAGTTTGCTTTGGAAGAGGCATGATTGTTGTAGGCTTGACTGTCGATGTTTAACAGATTGTTGTGCAGCTTTTTTCAGACTGTAACTGAGGACTAGATAGAGATGGGACAGGCCAGTTTATCTTGCTTATTACCACCTGGTCAGAATATTACTTTGAATAAATAGGAAATGGTACTATTTTTGCCTTTTAGCAAGGCTTGGTGGTTGCCAGTTAACATACTACTGTTGAATATTTAATGACAAGGATGAATCTGGAACCTTATGAAGGATTTAGAATATTACTCAACTAGAATTAAGTATCATGTGTTCATCATTAAACTAAGAGGAGATAAGATACAGTCCTTCCTGAATGTTAAATGAGGGAGTTGCAACTAAATGTGGTGTCAGAGGATATGAAAGTTGACAGAGCAAAAATTTATGCCGAACTCCGAGTCCAGTAGTTTCAAATGTCTTAGCAGCTGCTTTATTTTCAAGTACCTCATCTTCATTAGAATGTTCAACATGAAACAGACTATTGAAAATATCCTAGAGAAAAACACAGCTGGTTAATCTTTCCTCAGGGGAATTCTTTTTACTCTTTTTGGGGTGTTCTACTGAACACCCAAGCCATTCAATTTCCAAAGGACTGCAGACAGAATGCCCATCTCCTCTTTACTGTTAGTCTCCAGCATATTCCTCAGAAGTGTTAGGTTTATGAGGCTTCCGTGTAAGTCAGTCCTTTGAAAAAGATGCCTGCTGGGGAGATCTGGGTTTCCTCAGTGTTGATGTGGTAGTTGGAGGAGTGTGAGCAGTGGTCTGGCAATAGTTACTTGAGTCTCCAAGGTGTGCATCTCAAGCAGCAGTAATGCTTGATTTGAGATGCACAGTGTAAGGTAGGAGGAGGTAGAGTGTAAAGTAGGAGGAGTTGGAGAGTTGAGGGAGCCATCAGAGACTAGAATCATCTATTGAAGCTGTATACGCCTGGGATATATGATAATGCATAAAGTGTTAAGACTGGCTCTCAAGAGGAATAGTGAAAAGATTTACAAATGGCATTTGGCTTAATTCTTCCTTCTCGTGGAGAAAAAAAGTGAGGCTATTTTTGCATCTGTAACCAGAGCCCTCCATTTTCTCCTTAGAACCATTAATTGCACCAGGAATGCTTCACAGTGCAGTAGGAAGAACACAGGACTACATATGTCTCTCTTTCTGTGTCTTCCTGGACAGGTTATTATTTTACTTTTCTGAGCTTCAGGTTCCTTATTCATCCCAAACATTTGTTAAATATCTGGCAGATGTCTGATACTATGCCTGGGTATAAAGGTACAAAAATGGCTCCTGAAGAGCTTACAATGTGTGACAGACAATTCTAAAATGATATGGTAAGTGCTTGGGTACAGGGAATTACATGGCACTTTGGGAGAAGAGGTGTTGTAGGGGTGGCATCAAGAGATAGTTTTTCAGGCCGGGCACAGTGGCTCACGCCTGTCATCTCAGCACTTTGGGAGGCCGAGGCGGGTGGATCACGAGGTCAAGAGATCGAGACCATCCTGGTCAACATGGTGAAACCCCGTCTCTACTAAAAATACAAAAACTTAGCTGGGCATGGTGGTGCGTGCCTGTAATCCCAGCTACTCAGGAGGCTGAGGCAGAATTGCCTGAACCCAGGAGGCAGAGGTTGCGGTGAGCCAGGATCGCGCCATTGCACTCCAGCCTGGGTAACAAGAGTGAAACTCCGTCTCAAAAGAAAAAAAAAGAGAAAGTTTTTTTAAGAGACACTTATTTAGACAAGTCTTGTAAGGATGAGTTAAGAGTCCCTCAGGTGGACAAAAAAGAAAATGTAGCCTGTTGATGCAACACCTAGATTTTGAAACAGGTAATTCTGAATTCACATCTAGAGTCTGCCATTTATTAGCTCTATGTTCTTAGGCTGGTTGATGTATACTTCTTCAGTCTGTTTTCCTAACTGTAAAATGTGATCTGCCTACTTCAAGGTCATTTTGAGGATTAAACTGAAAAATTTATATAAAGCTTATTATATACAGCCAAGTACATACAGCTCTGTTAATGGTAGTGGCTTTTATTACTCCAGGAAAAGGAACTATTTGCAAAGAATGGATGTGTAAGAGTATGCCAGGCTCTGAACTACAAGTTGTTCAGCCTAGCTCATGAGGAGGTTATATAGAGAGAGAATGGAAGTGATCCAGAAAGCTAGGCAGGGATCACATTATGAATAATGAGGGGTCTGCCATCAAGACTTTTTCAAAGAGGTGACAGGTATGGTGCCATTTGACTTCAGAGAATGAATGACCTGAGAACTCATCTGAGCTCTCAAAGCTGTTCTTAGAATTCAAGACTCCTGTGAGCCAGATGGTTTCTCAGTTGAAAGTGTAGATATCACACAGTACTCCCTGTATCTTTCATTCCCAGGATATGATGGATGATATCTGCCAGGAGCAATTTCTAGAGCTGTCCTACTTGAATGGAGTACCTGAACCCTCTCGTGGACGTGGGGTGCCAGTGAGAGGCCGGGGAGCTGCACCTCCTCCACCACCTGTTCCCAGGTAAAAATAATGGAGACACCCAGAAATAGGGTGTAAATTTGATTACTAGTATCATCTCTTTTGCTGGTGCTCTTATGTCTAGCATAGGAAGGGTCTCAGGATTTATATATTGCATCAACAATAGAATTCTCAAGCCAGGCGTGGTGGCTCATGCCTATAATCCCAGCACTTTGGGAGGCTGAGGTGGGTGGATCACCTGAGATCAGGAGTTCGAGACCAGCCTGGCCAACGTGGCAAAACCCTGTTTCTACTAAAAATACAAAACTTAGCCCTGTGTGATGGCACACACCTATAATCCCAGCTACTTGGGAGGCCAAGGCAGGAGAATTGCTTGAACCCAGGAGACGGAGGTTGCAGTGAGCTGAGATCATGCCACTGTACTCCCATCCTGGGTGACAGAGCAAGATTCCATTTCCACACACACACACACACAAAAAAAAATTCTTGGCCGGGTTCAGTGTTTCACACCTGTAATTCCAGCACGTTGGGAAGCTGAGGTGGGTGGATCACAAGGTCAGGAGATCAAGACCATCCTGGCCAACATAGTGAAACCCTGTCTCCACTAAAAAAATACAAAAATTAGCTGGGCATGGCGGTGTGTGCCTCTATTCCCAGCTACTCGGGAGGCTGAGGCAGGAGAATCACTTGAACCCAGGAGGCAGAGGTTGCAGTGAGCTGAGATTGCGCCACTGCACCCCAGCCTGGTAACAGAGCGAGACTAAGTCTAAAAATATATATATATATATATAATTCTTGATCTTGGGCACTTTGACCATAGCCAAGTGCTATAGTCTCACTGAGACTTTTGGTTTTCTAATTTTGGACAGGCCTAGCATTTTTTTTTTTTTTTGAGATGGAGTTTTTGCTCTTGTTGCCCAGGCTGGAGTGCAATGGCGTGATCTTGGCCCACTACAATCTCTGCCTCCCAGGTTTAAGCAATTCTCCTGCCTCAGCCTTCGAGTAGCTGGGATCACAGGCATGTGCCACCATGCCTGGCTAATTTTGTATTTTTAGTAGAGATGGGGTTTCTCTTCTCCTTGTTGATCAGGCTAGTCTTGAACTCCTGACCTCCCACCCACCTCAGCCTCCCAAAGTGCTGGGATTACAGGTATGAGCCACTGCGCCCAGCCAGTCCTAGCATTTTTTTAATGGTCTAACTTTAAAGTTCTACCTTTTGTGACTGACCTTTATGGAGTGTTCAGACTCTCCAGACCTACCCAAGGCAGTGCTGTGATGAATTGGTCCACTGTAGGACCCGGGGAGTCTTTGAGTGTGGGTTCTTTGCCCTTTGCATTCCTCTGTGCTTTAATAATAGCCTAGTTAAGGCTTCATAAAATCTGCCTAACTCCAGAATTTGAAAACAAATCAGAACATAAAAGTAGCCTGTTTATAAAAAGCTCCATTTAAAGTAAACTTTCATTTTGTAGGGGCCGTGGTGTTGGACCACCTCGGGGGGCTTTGGTACGTGGTACACCAGTAAGGGGAGCCATTACCAGAGGTGCCACTGTGACTCGAGGCGTGCCACCCCCACCTACTGTGAGGGGAGCTCCAGCACCAAGAGCACGGACAGCGGGCATCCAGAGGATACCTTTGCCTCCACCTCCTGCACCAGAAACATATGAAGAATATGTAAGAAATTTGAACAGTGTGCCATTTCCCAATACCTAGAAGGTTGCCAAAGGAAGTAAAATGATAGGGCCTCGGTCCTTTATGTAGGTGTCATGGGCTACCTGTAAGATTTGGAAGCTGACCTCTTCTCTTGCAGTGCATGCTGAACTATTAGAAGATTTTTCCATTTTAGGCTTGATATTCTATATGTCTGTAGATTAAACAGGAAATAAAATATACCTTAATGTAATGTTTGATAACAAATTTCTTAACCACTAGTACCGATAATACTAAAGCTTGATTTTTGTAACTTTTCCTGACCACACTTGTTCTACGGCATATATTTGTTTGGGTTTTCTTTGTTTAGTAATCCTTTTGTCTTTTGACTATTCTACAGTAGGCATTAACATTTTGGAGGGAAATGTTATGTCCTTTTTTAATCCAGAAGACTACCTACTCCCATGGGATATAATTACCTTTCCTACTCTCTATGATTTTGATCTTTTATTTATTTATTTTTCTCTTCTAGGGATATGATGATACATATGCAGAACAAAGTTACGAAGGCTATGAAGGCTATTATAGCCAGAGTCAAGGGTGAGTCAGGCAATATAAGCACTGTTTTGTGTCCTAAGGATGGAGGAACAGAGAGATTTAGACAGCATAACCCTAAGGAGCAGAATTATTCACATTTTGAGGGTATCGCCTCTGTACTCCCCACCCAAACCCGACTAGTCTTGATCTTGAGCTCAAGCAATCCTACCACTTTAGCCCTCTCTAATAGTTGGTATTACAGGCACATGCCACCATGCAAGGCTTTCCTCTGCTTTTGACATCTGTGAAGCACACACTTGGATTTGTAAATTTGTGTAACTCTAAAACTTCAGTTATAATTTAGAACCTGAGAGTAGCAGATGAAAAATTTCCGAGCTACACAAAAAATAAAAATAAAAAATAAAAAATAAATAAATAAAAATAAGAAAAATTTCCGAGCTATGACTACATGGAAACAAGGAGAAATACCTTTACATTATTTTGATTTATTGTTTTAAAACAAGCATCCTCAAACTACGGCCTGCGGGCCGCATGCGGCCCCCTGAGGCCATTTATCTGGCCCCCTGAGGCCATTTATCCCGCCCTCCGCCGCACTTCAGGAAGGGGCACCTCTTTCATTGGTGATCAGTGAGAGGACCACAGTATGTGGCGGCCCTCCAACGGTCTGAGGGACAGTGAACTGGCCCCCTGTGTAAAAAGTTTGGGGACGCCTGTTTTAAAATATCAAAACCACATTGAAGTTGCATAACATTTTACAAGAAACTTGAATTCCATTACCATAACTTAGGTTCTTTTCTGTATTTCTCTTCCCTGCCCTTCCCCACTTCTGTATTTCTCTTTAAGACCATTTTCTTCTGTGTTCCTATATATAGCTTACCTGTGAATTGATTGAAAAAGAGTCTCAGTTCTATGGTAGTAATAAAACAGTTCTTTTTTCCTTCTGGTGAGCCCTAGGAATACATGTATATGTATGCTATATTAAGAGGGTTAATTTAGGATTGTGCTTTTTTACTTTATATTCTGTGATATCCATTTTTCTTTGCTATAGTTGTCATAATTATTTTATAAGTAAATATATATGTATTTTGGAAATATTTTGGCATCTAGAGATAGGTTAGAATGAGTATTTTCCTGTATTAATACACATAGTAAAATAATTGAAATACGAAAGTATTTGAAAAAAAGGTGAAACTAAAACATAGTTACTCTGTAGCTTCCTAACATTCTTATCTTTGGCTTTCAGGGACTCAGAATATTATGACTATGGACATGGGGAGGTTCAAGATTCTTATGAAGCTTATGGTATGTCTTTATCTCTGTGGTGGGGCAGAATGTACAAGTAAGTGCCTTGGAGAATGCTGGTGCCTGAAGTATTGAGAGTCAGACAAACACACCTAAGGATAAACCTTTAGAAGGCCAAGATGTTGCTAGATGTGACAGCAGGAGTTCTGGTCTTACATTTTGTGGTACATGGTAGAAAGGGACTGCTAAAGTGAGATGGGGTATTGTTACTCTTGGAAGGGTAGTACATGTCTTACCCTAGGGCTCAAGACAAGGTTGGCCTGGTTGGAGCAGACTTATAAGCTAATGTTGATTATTTTTCTACTTCGGACAGGGAAATAGCTAGACCTAGGTTGTATTTCTGGGCCTTTGCTGCTGATATCTAGGGCACTTTGGCAGATAACAAGGACTTAATCATGTACAACTGTACTCATCTGCCCCATTTCATTAAAAAATTAAATCTCATTGAAGATAATGTCATTGTAAAGGAAATGTCAGCTGAAAGGGTCCTAGATGGCTGGTTGGTAGCCAGAGCAGGCTGGGGGGCAAGAAAAGTGCCTATTAGGGCCAAGCATGCTAGCTTATACCGGTAATCCCAGCACTTCTGGAGGCCAAGGTGGGCAGATCACCTGAGGTCAGGAGTTCGAGACCAGCCTGGCCAACATGGTGAAACCCCATCTCTACTGAAAATACCAAAAAAAGGCGTATGCTGTGGCTCACACCTGTAATCCCAACACTTTGGGAGGCTGAGGTGGGTAGATCACCTGAGGTCAGGAGTTCGAGGTAAGTCTGACCGACATGGAGAAACCCCGTCTCTACTAAAAATATTTTATAAAGTAGCCGGGCATGGTGTTGCATGCCTGTAATCCCAGCTATTTGGGAGGCTGAGGCAGGAGAATTGTACGAACCCGGGAGGCAGAGGTTGCTGTGAGCCAAGATTGTGCCATTGCACTCCAGCCTGGGCAACAAGAGCAAAACTCCATCTCAAAAATAATAATAATACATAAAAATAAAAATACACACACAAAAAAAAGCCAGATGTGGTGACAGGCTCCAATAATCCCAGGTACTTGGAAGGCTGAAGCACGAGAATCATTTGAACCCAGGAAGTGGAGGTTGCAGTGAGCCAAGGCCTCACCATTGCACTCCTGCCTAGACAACAAGAACAAAACTCCACCTTAAAAAAAAAAGAATAGTGCCTATTAGAATCGGATTAGAGGCTATAGGGGCTAGAGCCAGTTCAGGACAGTTCAGGCACTGAGCTCCTTATTGGCTTGAAGACATCTCAACACAGTCATTGATCCCAAGAGAGCTATGGATCCTGCAATAGCAGCAGGACCAGGCCGCCTTCCCCGAGGTTTGGTTAAAAACACACTGCTCAAGTGTGTCCTCAACAGCCAGTTGTGGCCCTGTATTAATAGGCCTCAGTGGGAATACTGTATGGCAGTGGATGCAGCAAGAGCTACCTTTTCAGTGTGAGGTGTTTTCAGCATACCTAAGGGACTTCCAGAGAGTCCTTGGCAGGGGCTCAGCAATTGACAATTCATGCTGAGATACTTGGTTGACAATCTTCTCTTATCCCTAGTTGAAAAAGAGGAACCCCTTTGGGCCTCCCAGAGACAGACAAGCTGAGCCCAACTCAACACAGTATGAAGTAGCCAATCAGCTTCTTGCCCAAGGAAACTTACTACCAGTTTTAACGAAATGGGACTGGATAGTTGCCAGTCACTAACACTGCTTTGCTCTGCTCATATACCACTATTTAGAAGGGCAGTGTGATTGCACGCAAGTATTTCCCTCCATCATTGAGGCAGTACAGTGGGGCCTCTGTATGTGTTTGACTAAATTGCATTTCTGTTTTGCTGAAGAAAAGACCAAACTGAAAGAGGCAGGCTTCTCTTTGTGCCCCTGATATGATGTTGCCACAGTTAATCTGATCTGATCTCTGCTTTGATTAACAGAATTAGAAAAATAAACTGTCCAGGATGATCTGTATACTTCAGGAAAAAAAGAAAAACTGTCTTGTTGATACCCAGAAGCCACTTGGAAAGTGATGGACATGTGTGTTATACTAGGGATTTAATTAGCGTTCTGTGTGACTTAGATCTATATAGAGTTTGAGGCCAATAGTGATAGACGCAGATATTTGTCAATACAGGCAGCTGGAAAAATACTTCAGGAATAAACTGGTCTGTGTAAGGTGTGGGAAGAATAAGTTTAAATGCAGTTTGTTTTCATGAAGTCACTTCTAGAAATACGTGATCATATCCCTCAGGCTTTTCTCTGTCACAAAGAACCATTTGAAGATGTGAACCACATCTGGATTCTCTCAACTGTTGACTTAAGAAAAGAGATAAGGTTAGGCGATACTATGAAACCACTAAGAAAATATTTAAAAAATAAAAAGAAAACAGATCAGGAATTATCTTTTGTTTTGTTCTGTCTTGAGATGGAGTCTGGATCTGTTGCTCAGGCTATAGTGCAGTGGCACAGTCTCAGGTCACTGTAACCTCTGCCTCCCGAGTTCAAGCGATGCCTCCTAAGTATCTGGGATTACAATACAAGCATGCCACCACATCCGGCTAATTTTTGTATTTTTAGTAGATACGGAGTTTCACCATGTAGGCCAGGCTGGTCTTGAACTCCTGACCTCATGATCTACCCACCTCTGCCTCCCAAAGTGCTGGGAATACAGGCATGAGCCACCTTGCCCAGCCTTGGAACTATTTCAAACAGTGCTGTCAGTCCAACATTTGATTGCACACCCCTCTACCAGAGAGAGCAGTATCAGCTCTGCTGGTGGAGGGCCTCATGAAAAGTGGCCCTTGCTTGCTTTTCCCAGAGAGCCAGAGGATACTCCTCCATGAGGAAACATGATTTGCTGTTGCGTCAAAGTGGGGCTGGCTGCCTGCTTCCAATCTGAAAGACTTCCAGAAGTTTTCCTACCTTACCTGAGGCTGCCTGCCATATTGTTTTGAGAACTGGAAAGGCCATTGCAGACTCACTAAGATTAATGACTTCCTCACTATCTCAAGCAAGGTGTTGGGTATCTCCAGGTTTGGGGACTAAAGTACAGATCATGTTTGTCTATGAAGAACCTCATAGTGGGAGATTACTCCAGAGTCAACGGCAGCCCTTTTGGATTTGTTCCCTTCTGTCCTTCGACTCAAAACTGAAAATTTGCCTAGGCTGTCCAACAGGGTCAAACCCAGTAGAGAGCAAGGAACACCAGGGAAAATGTCAAGACATTAGAAGAAAAGCAGTGTTTTTGGTGATCTTTACTGTGTGACCTATCCCTGCTCATCCCTAAGTGCTGTTGGAACATGGTTTATAAACTGTGTTTGTTTTCCCCACAGGCCAGGACGACTGGAATGGGACCAGGCCATCACTGAAGGCCCCTCCAGCTAGGCCAGTGAAGGGAGCATACAGAGAGCACCCATATGGACGTTATTAAAAACAAACATGAGGGGAAAATATCAATTATGAGCAAAGTTGTTACTGATTTCTTGTATCTCCCAGGATTCCTGTTGCTTTACCCACAACAGACAAGTAATTGTCTAAGTGTTTTTCTTCGTGATACCCTTCTTCTCCCCACCTTATTCCATTCTTAACTCTGCATTCTGGCTTCTGTATGTAGTATTTTAAAATGAGTTAAAATAGATTTAGGAATATTGAATTAATTTTTTAAGTGTGTAGATGCTTTTTTCTTTGTTGTTTAAATATAAACAGAAGTGTACCTTTTATAATAAAAAAAAGAAGTTGAGTAAAAAAACACACACAAACCTGTTAGTTTCGAAAGTGACATTGCTTGCTTAAAGGTTCTGAAGTAAAGGCTTGTTAACTTTCTCTTAGTTTTGATTTGAGGCATCCCGTAAAGTTGTAGTTGCAGAATCCCAAACTAGGCTACATTTCAAAATTCAGGGCTGTTTAAGATTTAAAATCACAAACGTTAACGGCAGTAGGCACCACCATGTAAAAGTGAGCTCAGATGTCTCTAAAAAAATGTTTCCTTTATAAAAGCACATGGCGGTTGAATCTTAAGGTTAAATTTTAATATGAAAGATCCTCATGAATTAAATAGTTGATGCAATTTTTAACGTTAATTGATATAAAACAACAACAACAACAAAATTAGGCTTGTAAAACTGACTTTTTCATTACGTGGGTTTTGAAATCTAGCCCCAGACATACTGTGTTGAGAGATACTTAGGGGTGGGAGTAGGTTTTGAAGAGGTTGATGGTGGTGGGAAGGTAGGCCTCCTGAATTGAGTTTGATGCAGAGCTTTTTAGCCATGAAGAATCTTTCAGTCACAGTACTAATAATTAAAATTTCAGTATTTAAAAAGACAAAGTATTTTGTCCATTTGAGATTCTGCACTCCATGAAAAGCTCACTTGGACGCTGGGGCCAAAAGCCGATGATTTTCTTAAGTTGACGGTTGTCAATATTGAACTGTTCCCAAGGTAGTCAAGTATGTCTCAACACTAGCATGATATAAAAAGGGACACTGCAGCTGAATGAAAAAGGAATCAAAATCCACTTTGTACATAAGTTAAAGTCCTAATTGGATTTGTACCGTCCTCCCATTTTGTTCTCGGAAGATTAAATGCTACATGTGTAAGTCTGCCTAAATAGGTAGCTTAAACTTATGTCAAAATGTCTGCAGCAGTTTGTCAATAAAGTTTAGTCCTTTTTTAATCAAAGTAAATGTGATGAATTGTCATTTTTTTGGGTGGACCATAAAATAGTTTTCTCTTTCAAATAAACTTAAATTAACTCTAAAGTTAATGGGCTTGTTAAAAGTTGGAAACATTCTTAAAAGTGGTGGGGGGGATTTTATTTTAAGTTTACCAAAAAAAAAGTTGATGGAGTTGTTAAGTTTTAGTTTAAAAATAACCAAAGCTTTTTCACCCCCTGGAAGTTGTTGGAAGCAGTTGTATCCAATCCTATCAAAAATTCTAATTTGTGGAGAGTTTTCAACTCAGCTGAGCTGAAACTTGGATTGGTTTCTATACATAGGTCTCAGTATTTAGAAGTGTAAGCCAGCCTGGTTTGCACCTTCTATAGAGCCCCTAGGTGGCTCTAAAGTGTGACACCAAGTAATTTGTGAGCTCAGAAGGGGACGCACACCTGCTTTAGGCATCACAGTTCAGCCAACTTTGGATGCCCTTGACGGTTTCTCTTTCAAACCCAGAAATACTGAAAAATTAGCTGGGCTGGAGCAGGATTTGGCATGATAGGCTGGCTCTGAACCCCCTCCTAAGAGACCAAGAGAGGAAGTGATGGAATTGGTTGGTCCCATTTCTACTCTATGTTGATTCTCAGGGTTGTTTTCCTGGCTTCCCTCTTAGAGCCACCTAAACTGCTCGGGGGTGAAAAATCCTCTTGTATTGAAGTGCCAAGCTGCCTGCAGCAGTGCATGATGGACATTTTTTTTTTCTTTTTAAAACACACCAACAAAAAAATGTATTTGTAGATTGTGATAAAGTGTAAATAACTGAATTTTCAACCATGGTTTGAAGTCAGCTTTCAGGGCATTATGTCTTGTTTTGATGAAAAGAGATCACTCTATACCCCCCTTTTTAAAGGAAAATTATCGCAAGAGAATCAGGATGTGTAAAGCTAACATGCATCGCAAAAAACCAAAGGTAACCTAAATGTCTGATTTTAATAGCACATATTTCTCTTTTACATAAACTGTGACAGCAACTTGCATAAACAATTCTTTAGCTGTTAATTTTAATGTTAAAACTTTGCAAAACTTGTTTAATAAAAATAGCTGTAAAAAGAAAAACCATATGTTGCCGCATAAATTAGCCATAACTCTTAATAATCCTGCCCATCACAAGTGAATTGTAATGTAACCTGGGCACAAAGTCTGACATCTTAAATGACACATTGTAAAATTTCAATGACTGTAGATTAGACCTCCTGCTGCACCCCAAAGTAAAGCTTTCTGCTCAGCTATTTAAAAATGTGTAAGGATTAGTCCCTGTAGGTCCCCATATTGATATTCACAGTGAAACTTTACTTAAAAATTTCTTAAAAGTTGCATGTTTCTCCTGTATTGTGTAAACTGCATGCAGGATCTCTTATCTTTTATTTTTTATGTCTTTAAAAATTCCTCTTCAAAAGACTGATCTGTTATTTCTCCACTTTCAGGTAATTGAAACCTCCTGAGGCATTTCCTGGACTAGAATGGGTAGTGAAGACCCATGTCAGGTATGTTAAGGTGGCTTGCTATTAAGGACCATGGGCCTTTTCTCGTAACTGTAAAACAGTTATGCCAGGAGGTGGCCCATAAGATGGTCAATGGATTAATCTTTTTTTGTGGTCATTTGAACTTTATTTACAACATGACCACACTTACATGTCCATACTGAATTTACTTCTAATGGTTGATAAGGTCAGACAGTATCAACTTAGATCTGTTGAATCTCACTCTGTTTATCCTGTTAATAACCTAATGAGGCGGTGTTCCACTTGGAGTTCATTGGTTGCAAGCAACAAAATGGCTCATGTAAGTAAAAGAAACTAAAGAAGGCCAGGCGCGGTGGCTCAAGCCTGTAATCCCAGCACTTTGGGAGGCCGAGGCGGGTGGATCACGAGGTCGAGAGATCGAGACCATCCTGGTCAACATGGCGAAACCCCGTCTCTACTAAAAATACAAAAAACTAGCTGGGTGTGGTGGCGCGTGCCTGTAATCCCAGCTACTTGGGAGGCTGAGGCAGGAGAATTGCCTGAGCCCAGGAGGCGGAGGTTGCAGTGAGCCGAGATCGCGCCATTGCACTCCAGCCTGGGTAACGAGAGCGAAACACTGTCTCAAAAAGAAAGATGTTAGGGACTCACATTTAGGGTTAAGCCTGGAAAATCTGGTATGAGAACCATAGTAGCTGCAGTGAACTGGGACAACAGTGATAGACCACAGGAACTATCCTGAAACAAGGACTGGCTCCTTGGGCACAACTCAAAATCTCTGCCTCTACTCAAAATTCAGATTTTAGAGAGGGAATGTCAGACTGGATTAGCTGAGTCACATGCGTAAGAAGCAACAGATTCCTCACAAGGCAGCTGGGGAGTTATTAGGAAAGAGAAGTGGATGCTTGGCAGCCTAGAAGTGTCCAGTAATATCTGTATTTTACAGAAGTAACTTAGACCTAATGAGTATGACTGGTATTCAAGCCCAAGTTTTGTGTTGCCCAAACCTGTCATCTTAACCCTGTACTATACTGCCCTTAATCTAGGGAAAGGGTATTTCTTATACTTAGGAGATCCTTCATAGGGATAATTGTGGTATAGAATCAAGGACATGGAGCCTAAAGAACACTTTTTCCTAAAGTTTAATTCCCTGGTTTGTGAATTTGGGGGCTGTGACAACAGTGAGCTTTCCTGTTAATTGAAGCCATTAAGTAACTAAAGTGGCTAGTATTTCTCTTTGTCCTGAGTGAGGTGTTAGGATTAGGATGACACTAAGGAGAAAGGCCTAACTAGGTAATCCAAAGGCACATAGAACCTTTCACAGTGAAATTTGGTTTCTTGGAATTTTTTTTTCTCCCAAACCTGCCTCTCAGTCTCAGAGATCTGGAAGTTTTAAGGAGGGGCATGTGTACTGAGGAAGATTCTGGGTACCTGGCAAGCCCTAAGTTTAATACTGGTCACATGAATGGCCAGGAAATTAGGAGGGGAGAATCCCTGAATGCAGAGAATTTAGTCTCAAGTCTTCCTAGGGTAGTCAACAAAAATGGATTAGAAGTTTGGGGAAACTTTTCATTTGAATTGTGAACTGTGCTTTGAAAGGCAGGTTCTGTTGTTTGTGGATCCAGGCCTGCTGATGATGTGCCTGTTCTGGACGTGTAGCTTCACCCATTGATCCAAATGTTTTCTGTAACGTTTTATCACTCACTACCTGAGAACTTTTTTTTTTTTTTTTTTTAAGACAGAGTCTCACTCTGTTGCCCAGGCTGGAGTGTCGTGGTGCAATTTTGGCTTACTGCAACCTCTTCCTCCCGGGTTCAAGCAATTCTCATGTGTCAGCCTCCTGAGTAGCTGGGATTATAGGCACACAACACCATGCCTGGCTAATTTTTATATTTTTAGTAGAGAGAGAGTTTCACCATGTTCAGGTTAGTCTTGAACTCCAGGCTTCAAGTGATCTGCCCACATCAGCCTCCCAAAGTGCTAGGATCACAGGCATGAACCATTGCACCCAGCCGACCTGTGAACTTTTATTACAGTTCTGTAAGCTCTAGAGACAGGCAAGATTGGGTATCTGTCCAGGCTCTGCTTCATGTGAGCCTTTGTTACCTTAGTCAGAAACAAAACCTTTAACCTCTTTCAGTGCCTCATTTATCATCAAATGAAGTTGATGATAATAGCTGACATTTATCCCTAGGTGCATCATAATATCCTAACAGAGTTAATAAGTATCTCATTCAGTCCCTTTCTACCTTTGTTTCTATTTCGAGAGAAAATTCACATAGCATAAAATTTACAATTGTAAAGTGTACAATGTAGTAGTTTTTAGTATATTTGTACTGTGCAACCATTCCCATTATTTAATTCCAGAATATTTCCATCACTCTAAAAAGAAATCTTTTTTTTTTTTTTTTCTAAAAAGAAATCTTATATCTGCTAGTAGTCACTCCCAACTCCACTCTCTCCCCAGATGTTGGCAGCCACTAATCTTTCTGTTTCTGTGGGTTTGCCTGTTCTGAGCATTCATATAAATGGAATTGTACATGCTTTTTGGAATTGGTTTCTTTGACTTTGCATAGTATTTCCAAGGTTCATTCAGGTTATAGCATGTAACATAGTACTTGATACTAGTCATAGGAAACATTACTTCCAAAACCAGCCCATTTCATTGGAGACAGCTCTAAGTATTCTCTCTCTCATTTTGAATGAGACCTGTACCTCAGTAATTTAAATTAACTCTGCTTTGGACCCCAGAAGCAATATCCTTTCAGATATTTGAAGATTGTTTTCATTCTTGTGTCTTTCCCATCTTTAAAAATTTTCTTGACTGTACACGGAAGCTCATGCCTGTAATCCCAACACCTGAGGAGGCTGAGGTGGGAGGATCACTTGAGACCAGGAGTTCAAGACCATCCTGGGCAACATAGCAGACTATCTCTACAAAAAGTAAAAAAATTAGCTGGGCATGATGACTTGTGCCTCTAATCCTAGCTACTCAGGAAGCAGAGGCAGGAGGATCACTTGAGTCTAGGAGTTTGAGGTTACAGTAAACTATGATCACAACACTGCACTCCAGCCTGTGTAGAAAATTTTTTTGTTGGACTTGGAAGATCTGATTTTCAAGAGAAACTAGAAATGTGGATTATGTATACAGTCATTTAATATTTCCTCAGATTTTTTTTTCTTCTTCAAATCGTGGAATTGCTCAGATTTAAAAAAAATACTATTGGTCCCAGTAACATACATTTGCTGCATCCCAAATGTGGCTTTTAGCCTACCAGTTTGCAGCCTCTGGTTAGCTTCTGTTAGTATAAATTAAAGGGTATGTGAGTATTTTTAAGTGATTCTTTTTGGGCAGACTTAACTGTCGTAGTTGCAAAGAAGTCTAGAGTTTTGGGGAAGATTTTATTGAGATATAATTCATATACCATACTGTTCTCTCACTTTATTAAAGTGTACAATTCAGTGGTTTTTAGTATATACACAGAGTCATTCAGTCATCACTACA